GTTTATTGCTGTGCCATGCTAAACTACAGCCCCACCTCTGGATAATTTATGACTGTGAGGCAGATATATGCTTTAAGAGCCTTCCCTTGAGCCTTCCAGTATATACTGTGTTGTGTATTTAGATGATAAACGCCTGGAAAGGCGTTTATCATCTAAATACAGTACCAGTACATTTTGCTGTGTTTTGTACAGTCCTACTATTTACAGTGTTTAAAATTATAATCATGATTAATTGAGAGACAAACTATCCTAACAAAGTCAATGTCACGTGCTCTGCAAGAGCAGGGCCCCAAATATGGCATAAATGCAATCTGCTCCCCACTGTTTGTAGTGACTATTATGGTTTCCCAGGAAGCCATCCATCTAAGGCTGAATTCATGGGTCACACAAGGAGTCTGAACACTGACTTTACTGCACTAAGAGATAGGCTACTGACACATAACCCACAAGCCTTCAGCCTCATGTTATGTACATTTCTGTGCCTCCCATAAGACCTATCTGAGCTATCTGGTTCCAACAAACCCTTGCAATTCCCTGGCCATAATGACCAGCAGACTCAGGACACTGCTCCAAGTGTCCATCAGAGTCTTTCTTCAATTCCAGTTATTGCCCCACATTGTGCATTTGCAGAAAAACTAGCCCCTTTTATCATTTCACACAAGATCCAGTTCTTGCAAAGTCAAAAAAACAACGGGAGCAATATATCATGAATTATCAAATGACATCCCATTAGTGTGATTTTCCCTATCTACCGCTTTCACAAGAATTGAAAAAAAGTGACTTTTTCAATGAAAAAAATAAAAAAAGAACAACAGCAACAAAAAGAACTGCTGACAGAAAGATTAAATTTATTTTCAGTCTGTCAATCTTGTTTTTCTACTTAATTCGATGGCAGGAAAGGACATTTAATGACATGAGGGCATTGTGCATATCAAAATTCATGCACAGCAGTGAATGGTAAGCTCATTTTTCTAACACCTTAGACTCTTATTTATAACTAAGTCATAGGACTTTAATATAAAATGGTGAGTGACTTTTTGAAAGATGAATGGAATAGGAAAGTTTCATCTTTTGCTAAAAGCATATGGCTCCCACTCTTTGCTATTTATGTTTACATAAAATGACTTTCAAATAACTAACTGGGAGGTAGCAAACTAGCTCCATCATTTAACTTTCTGGAGTAAACATTTCATCTGCAAAGCCTTCCCTAGGCTAGGGACCTCTCTCATTTGAGGTTACAATACCATGGAAGCACAGAGAAAAACAAATGTGAGACAGTAAGAAGAAGACAGTAAACAGACTTGCCAAAGAAGATACACATATGTACTATATTGTCTATTTGGACAATAAACTCCTGACAGAGTCTATTCTGATACCTTCTTTTTCTGTGCTCTACATTGAACAGAATTTCACATTGTTTAGAACTTACAATTATAGTAAAATGTTTATGCAAAATCACTTAAGAAACTCAGCATATTTTTCTCTGTTGGTGCAGAACACTACCCATCCACATTATCTCCAAATAATGGATTGAAGTTTCATAAAAAGAAGTGCCAGGTGCTTGTGGTGGGTCACTTTTAAAAGTGACCAAGGTTCCCCTCTGCCAGCCTGATAGGTAGTCTCAAGATGTCTACTGCCTCCCGGAACCAAGATTCGAAACACTGATGAAAGGGTGCCACAGTTCACCAAGAGCACAGACTACTATCCCCTGTTGCTGTTCCATGTAGGTACAAACAGTGCTGGAAGGCAGAACGTGAGAAGAATCAAAGAGGACTATAAAGCCCTGGGAGGGCAACTGAAAAACACTGGAGCACAGGTTATCTTCTCCTCCATTTTACCAGTCGGAAGAAGGAGGGAAGCCAGGAATAGATGCATAATACACATAAGTCCTACCTATGTGGCTGGTGCCATCGTAAAGGTTTGGGGTTTTATGATAATGGAACCTTCTACGAAGATTATATACTGTTAGGGAGGATTGAATCAGCCTGTCTAGAAGGCAAAAGGCAATTTATGAGAACGGGCTGACTAACTTAGTGAAGCGTGCTTTAAACTGAAGGAATTGAGAGGCAGGGTACGTAACGGCAATGCCATTGCAACAGACTGAGGAATGAGCCAAGACAACAGTAACAAATGTTTCTTAGCTGCCTCTAATGACAAAAGCCAGAAGGTCATCTACCCCAAGAGTGAGTATGCCTACATGAAATCTTCTAGTATCCCTCTAGGGACACCTGCAGCCACTTCCCTAAAGTGCCTGTATACTAATGCAGACAGCATGAGAAATGAACAGGAAGATTTAGAGATGTGTGCAATCATAGAGCCATGATCTTGTGATCATGGAGACATGGTGGGACAGCATGACTAGAATGCTGTCACGATGGCCACATCCTTTTTAGGGAAGGACAGGTTGGTGACAGGCTACCTAGACTTCAGCAAAGCCTTTGACATTGCCCTCCCCAGTATTCTCCTAGAAAAGCTGGCAGACCATGACTTGGACAGGTGCACTCTCTGCTGGGTAAAGAACTGGCTGGATGACCAGGCCCAGAGAGTGGTAGTGCATGGAGTTAAATCCAGCTGACAACTGCTCACCAGTGGTGTTCCCCAGGGGTCAGTATTGTGGCCTCTTCTGCTGAGTCACCATTGACTGGCTAGTTGACTGGCATAGCTCCGAGAGTTGTGATCAGTGGCATAGTCTAGTTGAAGACCTGTACCTAGTGGTGTGCCCAAGGGGTTGGTGCTGGGTCCAGTCTTGTTCAACTTCTTCATCAAGGACCTGGATGATGGGATGGAGTCCACTCTCAGCCATTTTGCTGATGATACAAAGCTGGGAGGAGTGGCTGACATGCCAGCAGGCTGTGCTGCTATTCAACAGGACCTAAAGAGTCTGGAGAGTTGAGCAGAGAGGAATCTTAGGAGTTCAACAACAGCAAGTGAAGAGTCCTGAACCTAGAGAGGAACAACCACATGCACCAGTACAGGTTAGAGAATGACTTGCTGGACAGGTAGTCTGCAGAGAAGGACATAGGGGTCCTGGTGGATAACAGGCTGGTCATTAGCCAGCAGCGTCCCATTGTGGCCAAAAAGGCCAATGGTATCTTGGGGTGCATTAAAAAGAGTGTAGCCAGCAGAGGGAGGGAGGTGATCCTCCCCCTCTACTTTGCTCTGGTAAGGCTACTGGAATACCGTGCAGAGTTCTGGGCTTCTCAATTCAAAAAAAGATAGGGATCTCCTAGAAGGACTCTAGTGGAGGGCCACAAAAATGATAAACGGCCTGAAGCATCTCTCATATGAAGAAAGGCTGAGAGACCTGGGTCTGCTCAGCATGGAGAAAAGAAAACTGAGAGGGGATCTGATAAATATTTATACATATCTAAAGTGCGGAGGGTAATCTGATGAGGCCAGAGTTTTCAGTGGTGTGTAGTGACAGGACAAGGTACAATGACCAAAAACTTGAACATAGGAATATCCACACAAATACACGGAAGAATTTCGTTACAGTGAGGGTGATGGAGCACTGGAACAGGTTGCTGGAGTCTCTTACTTTGAAGGTATTTAAGACCCATCTGGATGCTTACCTGTACAATCCACTGTAGGGAACCAGCTTTAGCAGGGAATTGCACTCAATGATCTCTAGAGGTCCCTTCAACCCCTGCAATTCTGTGATTCTGTGAATTCTGAATTAATGTCATGTGTGAAAATAAAACTATTAAGAGTCTACTTCTCCTAATATTCTATCGTACAAAATGTTTTCATGCCCAGTAGTCTTTACTCATGAATTACAGTAGCAGTTAATACAATCAATGCTGACTACCCGACAAATCTGTTTAACATCTCCACAATACTTAGAAGGTTTAACATCTCTGTTTTAAGCAATCAAAAAATATTAATATCGGTTTTCTGAGTAATAAATCCACTAATATTTTATATGGAAATACATGGGTGCAGAAATCAAATGCTTAATACCATACTAGATTGTTCCAATGCAGCCAGGAAAAAAAAAATAATTACTGTGTCATGTTTGAGTTCTACAGTATTTGTTTTATAAAAAGACAATGAGTTAGTTATAAATATTTCTCAGTATATGTAATTATATTTTATATTTTTAGCCAGGAATATTCTATAAGCTTCAGATGCATCAAGCAAAATTCAGTATTAATTATTTAAATCTATGGGACAAACATGGAGAACTCAAGGTTCAGAGTATGCCTTCTTTCACACTAAGCAAGAAGCAGTGAATGTGGAAGCTTCTAAGGATGAATTGTAATTCCCTACAAACAGCTCTAACTGCTTGGCACTAAAATATCACAGCAGAATTGTTTTGAACAAGATGAGGATTCCCTAGTGTGATCAAGGAACATCAGTTTGTTCCTGGGACAAAGGAATGGGGTGGAGTCACCTGAGATTGGCAAGGAATCAATATGAGAAGTCAAAAAAGGACAGAGGTGGAGATGTGTCAGTGCTTCTTGATTTTGGTCAGTGGACCTGCAAACCTGCTGATTTAAAAATTGGAACAACGGGAACTCCCTGTCATGTATAGCAGTCCAGTATATCTCTTGACTGCTTTCCAGGTCAAGTGATATACCTAGCCAATATGTGGTAACATCTCCTCCTTAACCTAGAAGCATGGACAAAGTCTAATCCAAGCAATTCTTAAAAAAATATCAGACCTTCCAAGCACATTCCAAGTTATTTCATGAAGTGTGACATCAAAAAAGATGAAGAGGAAACAGAAGCATGACATAAGACAGCATAGAAGTCAGAAATAGAGCTGTCAGAATGCAAATGGACACATTAAAGCTTTATCTTGTTCTATCACTCTAATGATTTTGGTCAACTCTTTTAACTAGTCTAATCTTCAATAAAATTCAAATGGAAGTGCCACAACATGCTACTAATTCCATGCAAAGCACAGCTTCCTGCAGAGGCAACTCTACAAAAATACACCGAAAAGCACGTAAAGTACTACAGACTCTTAAAAGATATTCATTGAGAAATATAAGTACCTGTTGTCTCCAAGGCCAGAATCCTTGGTTTTAGTATCACTATCATAAACAAAACGCTCTTGGGAGATTACTATGACATTGTCCGTAGTTTCATTTCCCAAGATGGTGATAACAGGATAACCCATCTGTAGCGTCCATTGATCCATTACTTCTTGGATATTTACAGATTTTCCAACCCTTTTTAAAGCCTTCAAGAAAAAAGAAAAGTTTTGGTATGCTGAAGCAGAACCAGAATCCAACGTGTAGAACTTTTTTTTTTTTTTCATCCTAGATGAATATAATTAATTTCAGTGGTTTCATAAATATCACACATACGCACACACCCACGTTTATAATCAGTAAATATACACAAACTGCAAAATTACACCAACACTGTCTGTGTATCTTAAATGTCGAGCAATCTTCCATAGAGAAAAGTCAACATTTTTACAAATCATTAGAGCACTTTTGCTGGAAAGGAAGAAATAATCCACTTTATAGGGTGTTTACAAGCACCACAGAAGTACTGGTTGTCTATTTCCAGAAGATATTATTGACCAAACAATGTTAAAAAAACCCACATATTTTTAACAGTATTTGTGCAGGTATTTGCAGTAAGGCACATTTCAAAAGTGTTTGATTTCTGAAAATATAGAGCTTCTCTGTTCTGAAAATCAAATGTCTGCCCTTATTTGAAAATACTATCCCTCCTGTCCAAAGTGAGACCATGCATACAACAATATCCCCAGCTCCTTCAAAAACTCTATGTCATAACACTGTAGGATTAATGTGTTCATATTTGATAGAGCGTGAATGAACTGTTGTTTTACAGTTAGACTTTCATCTGAAATAAAAAGAGATGCTATAGTTTCATGGGAGATGAGTCTGGATATGAGAATGACAGGCATCAGTAGCTATGCAGTGACAGAAATATGTCTAACTGCTGAGTAGCCCTTGATCACAGACAAATTAACATCTGATGAATATGAGCAGAAATCAGCAAGAAGTCTTCTGAACTGGAGAAGCAATATCAGAAAAAAAGAGGCTGACAACAAACATGGTTATATGTGTGAGAAAGAAGTAATTATTAGGCTTAACAATAGAATTAAGCATACAATGTAACCCTGGTATTTGGGGTCCAGAATGAAGTCTTGTTTTTGTTCTATTAGTTGTGGGTTCTTCTGCTCTTTCAAGAGTATGATGATCCCCCTCCCCTCCCATCGCCCAGCATTTCCCCAAAGGCTTTACTAGAGGAAGATACCAGGGCTCATCTTAAAGCACCTAGAGGTTCAGTTTCATCATCTAGTGACTAGTCAATTGAATCACTGTCTATACCTTGCTGATTATATTGCTGATTATATTGAGTAGGCTTTTGGAACTCTAGTTGTTCTTATTTAACAAATGTCAGTTGAGATGTTCTACAGTATTCAATGCATCTTCACAGAACTGGTAGAGACAGAGCAGCTATGGATATCTCTTGTGGTAGCTGGAAGATTCATAGATACCTGCTAATCTAGATAAACATATATGTCTTAAACTCCAGCTGGATGCTAGTTATGGTGTCAATAGTTACTAGACAGCCATGTTTATGTACGGCTTGAGTTGGCACTTGTGCCCAAACTTTCTTTCTGTCCTCTACATTCTCTTACACTCTGTTTCTCTTCTGAGGTGTCCAGAGTAGCTCTGTACGCAAGTAATCTAGGCATGGTTGGCTCCCTCTTTTGAAATGCAAGCTCTGCCCTTAAATACATACTGGAACTGAGACTAGAAACCAAGTGTGGATGCAGCAGTGAAAGGAACGTGGACATAGAAACTAGAATCCTCTGCAGGACACCTAATATTATAGTAAATAGTTACCTGTTTAGAGTAAACTTTAAAGCTTCAGTAATTTTTTCTTTCACACCAATCATAACTCCATACAAAAATAAAAAACACAGCTGATGTAAATGCCAAGGTGCAACATTTTCACGCACTTCCCAGCTTATGGGCCTCACCCTGCTACCACTAAAGGCAATGACAGTAGGTTCCACAAACTAGCTTTTACTGCACATCAGTGACACAGCACAAGCAAAGAAATACATTCTGACGTAATAAAGAACTAAAATACTGAAGAAAGCATATTTCAGTGTTGCCAGTGTTGTTCTGCTAACTCTAATGGAATTTCTTTGCATCGATTTTTAAATTTGCTCTGGGGTCTGAAGATCTCATTATGCTCTATTCAGTCCTAAGCTGAACCAAGAGAAATACCACAGTATATTCCTGCTTCATCCTCAGTGCAATAGTTTAAAGCATTTTACCTTTGACAATGTGTTCCAGAGATCATTTCTGGCTGCATTGCCATACTTGTGAATGGTTAAATAGTCCTACAGAAACAAAATAAAAATACAAATCAGTATTACTATACACAAGCCAAACAACTAGAGCCATGAATCACTGCTAGTATAAGTTAAATCACATTAATGTTTTCATTTGTCAGAAAACTAGAAATATACAATATGTTTATCCTAAGGGAGAAAATAAACAGTTTCTTAAGCTAGTTTACAATGCAAAAATTGTTGCTAAGAATTTCATTTACAACATTCAATGTTCTTCTTTTTCTTTGTAAGTCATTCTATAAACTAACAATTTTGAATACATTTTTTAAATAATTGTCTGTTCTCAGAATGGATTCCTGGGCAATTGTCACAATGAAAAGGAGAAGCTTCTAAAACTTAGTTCCAATCACTATTTGAGATGGAGACATTCTGTGTCTAGTATTAACAATATGCTCACTCTGATGATTGCTAGAGTTGTAGCAAAAGACTTAACTGAGCAACAGGTTATCATCAAAACTGCAAACTCTTACATAGAGAGATTCTGGTACTTCAGCATCTAAATACCTAACGTTGGTAATGTAGGATATCACATTTTATCACAGAGGTACTCCGCCTTCACAGTGGAAGGATACAGTGGAAAAGGGCTGGCTGGAACAAAGCACAGGTATGTTTTCACTGCATATATAACTGAATGTTTGAGAGGGATAAAAATTGAATGCTTTCACTTATTAACAGTTCCTGCGGCTGAGAGTCCATTCTTCTCCCACAGCAACCAGAAATATAATGTTTGATAAGCTATAATCATAACAAATTAACATCTAAAATTAATAGTTGAAGCATATCACTAAGTTGAGTCTGGGCTATTCAGGCACAACATGCTTCTATTTTTTTTACAGTCACCTGGAGAAACAACACTGTTTCCTACCTTGTTCTGTCACTAGACAACAGCTCATTCATATGCAGTAGTGAAATTCAGCAGTGACTGTTTGAATAACATATATTTCCAGCATTTTGATTGGAAGAATTAAATGGAAAAAAAACACCACATAACAGAGGTGGTGGATCAATAGATTTTGCTGCACTTGAATTTTCACCATCTTCTCTTTACACAATGGTAAGAGACAAACCCTAATTTACAACACAATGATAAAACTGAGATAAATTTGCTGACTCTGTTATCTGTGCTTTGTGTGCAGTAAAATACTTTGGGAATAATTAGTGTTTGGGAAGCAAATTTTCTGATATACATACTGTAGCACCTGTCACAGGTTTAGTTTTTGTCACACGACTCATAGTACAACAGGCAGCAACTCCCACTTAATCACAAGCTAGGAAGGCTAAAAAAGAACACTGACTCTCTAAATGCAGTGCCTAGTCTTCACAATGTCATGAGAATAACTTGGAAGAAAGACAATACAGTACAGGCTGCACCTACAGCACACTGTGCTTCCATTTTGTCTAAAAATACAGTAATCTGAGATCAGTGAAATATTCAATACCTTTCAAAGCTGAAGAAGTTGAATTCCAAATTAAAAAGCTAAAATAGGAACAAACAAAAGTAGGGCAAGATAAAGAACTAACACCAAATGTACATGTGCACTCTAAATTGCGCTAGAAAATGCAGCATGTATCGGTTCTTCTGAGTTGTTTTCAGAACTGTTACACAGCAAAATAAAAGGAGTGGGACACTTGAGGATTTATGCGATACAGGCAATCAACCTTTTTACCATTCAGACTTTTGCTTTTTTGCATCCAGAGAAACTACAAATTTATTAAATGCTTCTTTCCTTTTATCTTTTTAGCTATCAAAACACACATTGGTAGGTTTAGATATAGATCATCACTGACTTATAAAAATTCATTATCCTCCAATCTAACATGTTCATTATATTATGGAAAACAAAAATAAGTATAACATTTATCAAGAAATAAAATACAATGAACACAACATAAGAATACACAGTCTTAACAAAACACAACTTGATTGTAGGTATTTTAATTATTTCAATAAAGATACATTTAGACCACATGCATAACGCCAACCTAGGAGTGGTACCTAACACATACTATACAAACAGCAACCTTAAAGTGAAAATATGCATAAACCTCGATTACAGTGGGCAGTTTTGGGTGACACAGCATAAGGACATAAAACTATCAGAGAGCATCTAAAGGAGGGCTATGAAGAAGGTGAAGGGTCTGAAGGGCAATATGTATGAGAAGCGGTTGAGGTACCAGAGAAGAGGAAGCTGAGAAGAGGCCTTATGGTGGCTCCTGAAGAGGGGACCAGAGGGGCAGCTCTCTGGTGACAGTTACACACCTGAGTGAACAGCAAGAACTGCATCAGTGGAGGGTCAGATTGGGGATTAGGAGAAGTTTCATCACCATAGGGGAAGCTGGGCACTGGAACAGGCTCCCCATGGCAGCAGTCATGACCACAAGCTGCTAGAGTTCAAGGAGCATTTAGACAATGCTCTCAGACATAGGGTTTAGATTTTGGGGGCTCCTGTGTGGAACTAGGTTGTCTTTGTGAGTCTCTTCCAAATCAGGATATTCTGTAACTCTATGATTCATTGATTTTGCAAAGATACTGAAATAAGTCAAATTGAAAGTCCTCAGCTATTAGTGTTCTGTTTTCAATAATAACCAGTAGCAGACACCAAGAAAGGGTATAAAACTGGGCAAACATCCCCACTACGCTCCGCCAGCATCTAGTAAATCATAGCACAATGAATCCTGAGCAGATTAATCTTTGCTTTCAGAATCATCTTCCATGAATTTGGCTAATCACTTCCTGAACCCATATAAATGTTGAACATTTCCAACACATTATAAAAAAATGTCACTCTGTAGTGAACTATTATGTGAAGGTAGCTTTGTTTCAACCATCTGTCAGTCTGCTGGTTTCATCTGCTGCTGTCTAGCTCTGACACCAGAAGAGACAATGAACTGCTGTCCTATTCCATTCTCTCCAAATCATCGTTGCTTTTACAGATCTCTACTGTCAGTGTCCTCATACCAGAGTCTGATTTTAAACTGAGGACTCCATCAGAACTCTCCACTACACTGCCAATTCACAATTCAAGCTAATGACTTCCAGCGTAGAGAGGGTTACCATGACCCAGTCTTAACAAATTGATAGTTCCTTTTGCAGTACCTATCATGGACAGTCCCTCAACATAAAATAAGAAGAAGCTTCTACACATCTACATCAAATACATTCCACAAAGTATTAAAACTGCAATCAAAATCCAGACCCTACTTCTTAGTTCTAAGGATGGAACAAGCAGGAACATAATCCATTGTTCCTTCTGGGGATCCATACCTAAGCCTTACGTAGCTTGCAAAGGGACAGAAAACATTCTCATTCACTGTAATTCTCAAGGGCAGGAATACTTGCCATACCTTCAACTCTACATTGAATAATAAAAAAGAACTAAAGCAAACAGGAGACGCAATCCACAGAACATAAAAGAAAGAGGACACTAAAACCATTGCTGCCTGAATATAAGCTGTGCTCAGCACTGCTCCAAAGGTGGTAAAGTGACTTAAAGCAGCTTTCTTATAACCACGTATGTCCAGAACTATCTGGCTGCATCACAAAATTGCTTGTCTAGCATCTACAAAAGCTGTTCTATCAACTGGAGCATGCTGGAGTATGGAGAGATGCCTTAGCCACTTTCCTATAACCCTAGGGTATGTAAGGAGAAAAGGTGGCATGAAAGCCACTTTCAAGATTCAAAGCAGCTCTTCTACACATCCACCTTTCTCTCTCATTTTAATGTCACCTTTAAATGTTTTCTTTGACAAGGGGAAAGTAGAAAGTTTCTAGACCCTGAATGGTGTTACTTAATATGAAAATTAATCACACACCCCACGATGCTTTCACCTCTGTCAATAAAATATGTAATCAGACAATGTGGTTTCGTGACACTTATTTTAGTACTTTTAATAAAAGATACCAAGAAGAAATCCAAAATCTGTTGTGCCATGAAAACAAATTCCAACTATCACACAAGCAGAATCAAAGATCTAGCAAAAAAATCCCAAGCTTTGGATTATTATGTAATGTTTTGTCAAAGAGTAATCTTAATCTTTCCCAAAAAATAATTCAAAACTATTTTATTACTAGAATTTAGTACTTGAATATTGAAATAGATGGCTTGAACAGCAGTAAAAATGAGAACATACTGAAAAGTGCTGAAGGATTTTGAAAGATGTTTTCAGTAATATTGTATTGATTAAACCTGTAGGACCTTCCTTGCATTAGACTTCTTTTAAGAAAGGAAGACTATTTTAAAGGAAGAAGTCTTTTATCCCTTTGCAATCTTAGTTCCCTCAGTACTGCTAGCGTTGAGCTTGGTTTCGAGGAAATGAACTACTCGACCATCCAAATACGATAACACTCACAACTAATAAAAGGGAGTTACTGATAAATGTGAAGATGTCACAAAAGTGGAAGGGGAAATAAGCCTCCAAACATATATCTTACTTTCAGGAAAACTTCAGATCTATAACTGGGACCAAATTCCTTTCTCAGTTTATCTGTATAAAGCTGACTAGTTCACTGAACCAATCAATGGATCCTGACTTACATGAGCAGAGCTGAGATCTAAATCAGATTAACATTGAATAACTTTTTCTCCAAAAAATAACTGGGAGAATTCTGCTTTAGGAGACAGAAGAGGAAAAACTAGAAACATATTTCATGGAAACATTCTTCTGAATGTCTGTGTTTTTCAGGGCTGAGGAAACAGTAGTCCTGCCTCTCTCTCCCTCGTTTGTCTTTCATGCCTACTCCTGGATCCTATTCTCTTTCCTTCAATTTACTATGTGTTCTTGTTGTTCTTGAACATTTTTATATCTAACTGCTGTATCTGATCAAAGATTTAGAGTAAAGAATAAAAATATTTAGCTCAGGCAGAAATCAGCCTCTAACATTCTGGCTATCAAATCCAGTGCGTTAGTTTTCTAGGAATTTCTGTACTTAATCTTAGGCTACCAGATGTTACCTAGCAGACACTGACAATTAGATGCTGCTTTTTTTT